TATCTTTAAGATGAATGCTTTACTCTAGACCGCACATGTAGAAATGCGGTCCAGCCGGCATGAAACAATTTTCCTTTTATGAGTTCTAGAGTCATTTTTAGATATGCGTCCCCTCTTTATGACCTATTTTTTAGATGGATTTCGACCTAAGTTTTTAGGTATATATAATCTCTAATATAGAGAACTTGAATGTGTAAAATAAACTTTGACAACTAACAAATATTTTTTTTGAAAGAAAAATTTTAACTGTTGATTTGGCCTTTTTTTTTTTAGAGACTACATCTCCACAACCATCTTTAAAATGTAGGATGCCCCAAGAAAACAGAAATGAAACAGAAATGTAGTTATGCGTCCTCCGATGCATAACCCACTTTACCATCCTCTAAAAACCACCGTTACCCCAACATCCAACTCCATCTTTTCTTTTTTCTTTTTTACAAATAACATCCAACTCTATCGTTGTAACTCACATTTGACAGAGCTCCTATTTTTGGGCTTATTTGATAATAGCTCTGCGTTTGTTTCGAATAATATAGAACAACAACATTGATTAATGAAACAAAAAAAAATACCACAAAAAAACACCAAGATTTATGTGGTTAATTATTAATATGAAATTCAATCAACATTGCAACTCCAAAGCTATAAGATGACCCTCACAAGAGAAATTACTTTAGCGCCATAGAAACATATTCATAAACTGAAAAATGCCTCATTCATCAATTAGTGCTGGAGAGCAAAAGGGCCTAGATCAATACACGATAGATATTAGATTGCACCACAAATCTCAAGAGATGGCTGCACACATGCAACATGTGTAAGAGGATTTCACTATTTTTGGAGATCATTACTTGTCAACAAAGCACTTGTCCCTCTTTCCGAGGGAGAGTTAACCTTCGTTATATCTCCATTTTTTTATTTTTTTATTTAATATTAACTTAAGACGTGGTGAGAATGGAACTCTAGAAATCACTTTGTTGTATCTACCACCTTCACCACCTTTTTATTCTCTCCCTGAGTGCCTTGAATTTTCCCTAATTGTACAAAATGAGCCCTTAAACCATGCTAATAAATGCCGAAAAACTTGAGGTTGTTATTAGTACCTGCGAATCCTAAATTCTTTTTTATATGGATTTTTGGAGCATTTTGAAAATGTGTCGCAACCTTTAGATTTCATCAAACCCGTTCATTTGTTTACAAAGATATATGACCTCCTTGAGGATTTCCATAACAAGTACACACGTTTGAATCAAACTAAAATCAATCTAGATCCCTAATGCAATTTTGTTGAGAGAAGCCGTATTATCTTTGTGTATACCAACAAAACTGAACTAGGGTGTTCTCAAGGGACCGATCCTAGGTGTGTACAGAGGTGTGAACGGGCCGGCTGAAGTGTAGTTGGACCTAAACCTGACCACGAACCAATGTAAGTCCAACTTCTTGGACCAGGACCTAAAACTGAATCCAACCTACTGGATTGAGCCGGGGTCTAAATAAAAAGTTATTATATATTTTTGATAATATATGAATATTATTTTTAAAGGTCGGATTAACCCAACTTAGACTTGGTGAGGGCTAGGGATGGAAATGGACACAAATCTGACCCGTTGGGTCCAATTACTAAGTCTAGATCAGGTAAACCCAACATAACATCGGGCCGATCCGCCCTTATTGCCACCCCTATATGTGAGAGAGTAACAAGTTTCATAGTATCATTTTTCTTATTTTAATAGTTATTGAAGGGTTTTACAACTTGATGGACATGCGAGAACGATTAATACTAGAGACTTTGAAGGTCAAATTAGGCAATGAAGTTGCAAGAGAAAACAACTATTTTCTTTGCTTGGTTTGCAACTTTGCATATAAGAAGCAAAACCTGAAAGTCCATTTGATTAAGTTTGCAGTATTTTATTCAAAAATTGCACCCCGCTAGCTCAAACCTCACGGGCAAAGGGTGCACACTAACCACTAAGACTTTGACCTATACTATAATATTAATCCAGCCTCCAGCTCCAAAACGATTTTTTAAAGGATTGTACTCTATAACGCTATTTACCGTAGTTATAAAGAGGTCATAATTATTTCTGACCATTAATATCAAATTGGATGGCTTGAAGTAATGTCATAACATTAGAAAATTTTATTTTTAAACTTTTAGTCTAATAAATGACATACTTGTAAATTTAGAAACTGATGAATAAAGATGATTGTGACTTTGATGTACCAAAAATAAATGATTTTTTTATATACTTTGCATTTTTTAAACAACGGTGTAGTCCACTACGTTTGACCTCTCTTGCCCTTAAAATCTCTAATACCTGCTTTATACCTCTGTCGGCAGAGGGAGAGAGAACTTTTGACTTCTAGCACCTATAAAATCTTCAAAAAATTACAAAAAACCTCAAAGATTATAGTTTTTATGCAACGTACCCCCAACTTAACTTTTTTCTTATTGTTGCCCTCAAAATATGTTTTCTATGCAAATACCCACCAACCAAATAAATAAATAAATAAAAAACCTAAACTACTTGCTTTTACTTTTACCTTACTCATGCCTTTCTCTCCTCTATCCCACCAAGATAGGGGTTCCAACACTGTGTAAATGTGGTTCGGCAGTAGGGCTGACATTGTGTAAAGTGCTGTCCGGCAGTAGGGTTCCAACACTATGTAAAGTGCGGTCCGGCAGTAGGGCTCTGGCACCGTGTAAAGCACAGTCCGGCAATTGCAAAGGGCGGTCCGGTAGTAGATGTTACTGGATTCCAGGGTTTCGATATTATGTAAAGCGCGGTCCAGCAGTACTCAGTTTTGGTCCAGCACTTATGCGCTCCAACAATGTGCTATTGGGGTCCAAAAGTAAACGTCAAATGTGGCCAAAATGATTTTTGCGTATGGGAATAGCATTTCCGTCTAAAAAAAATGAACTTTTAATATCCTTTGGGAGTATTTGTATAGAAAGTTTGTTTTGGGGAGAAAAATGAGAGAGAAACTAGATTGGGATAAGTTACATAGAAAATGTGGTCTTTGAGATTTTTTTTGTAATTTTCCCTTAAATCTTCAGCAGCACCTAATTTATCTTTAGACACGGAGAGAGGGAGAGATAGGGAGTTCCCTCCTTAACATGGAAAAAAAAAATAAAAAAAAAATGAAATAAAATAGAAAGAAAAGAAAGGAAAAATAGAAAAGAAAATCAATATTCAATTTTTGAGGGATATTATTCTTAAAATCGGAAACAAGTTTGTTAAAGTTCTATGAATTGCTGGTGATTAAAGTAAAGTCAACTGCTTGTAAGGAGGGCCAATGCCACTCAGGAGATTCATGTGATGCTATTCCAACCTGGAAAGCTAAAAAGGGGAAGTCCTCATTCACCTGTCCTTTGGTCCGTTAAGGTGAAGTCCTCATTCTTCTTTTGGTCCATGAAGGGTCACAATATAGAAAAGTTTCCACAGACGAGTCAAAGTCAAAACCAGGTTTGCCTTTAGTTAACTGGAAAAGAGTAGAGAGAGAGAGAGAGAGGAGGGTCCTCTATCACTAGAAGAGAGAGGAGTCCTGTGATCCAGACCTGGTACAGTTTTGGTAAGTCAGCCGACTCACATATTACCATGCAGTCTCTTTTCTGTCAATGTCTGTCACTCACTTATTACCATGCAGTCTCTTATCTATCTATGTCCGTCTTTAAGATAGATGTCAAAAGATGTTACATCCGTTAAAAGTTAAATTGGACGGTGAAGAAAAATAATATTTATATTTTTCGAAAAAAAAATTCCAGATTTTGATCATTATCACTGTTGAGACTATTGAACTCTACAATTTTGAATCGAAAATACATCTTTGAGATATATTTGGTAGGGAGACTGCACAAGAATAGTGTGAGTTGGCCAAATAGACAGACTCCTACCCATTTTTTCAATGGGGAAGACAGACTCCTACCCATTTTTTCAAATAGATTAGGAGCTGACTTTTTTTTAAGATGTCAGTGGGTGGTGTCAGTGCGATTGAAAACCACAATGTGGTGATTAGGTGTGGGGGTGCTACCACAACGACCTAGTCACTTTCCTAATGTAAAAGCCTTTTTTTTTTGGGTAATTTAGTGTGGAAGATAGGCCCCTATCCATTTTTTCAAAATGGTTAGAGTTAATTTTTTTAAGGTGTTAGGAGGGTGGTATTAGTGGGAATGAAACTTTCCCAATGTAAAAGTCTCCTTTTCTTTTCTTTTTTTTTTTTGGTAATTTAGTGGGGAAGATAAGCCCCTACCTATATTTTCAAATAGTTTGAGTTAGTTTTTTAAAGTGTTAGTAGGGTTAGTATTAGTGGGAAAACGAAAACCATTGAGTTAGTTTTTTAAAGTGTTAGTAGGGTTAGTATTAGTGGGAAAACGAAAACCATAACAACGTGGTGACTACTATTATAGCTATAATCGAGCCCTTGATTCCTCTTTGAGAAAAGTTTATATGGAGCCGAGGCTCTAAACAATCAAATTAAAGCCTACCTCAAAACTTTCACTAGAAGAGGTTGTTTTGATGCCCAAATATCTTCAAATTGATCTTCTTGACATCAAGATCCATGGACATGAGAAAAAAATGGATTTCAAGTTTTGGAAATAGTGTATTTTATGGCGCATTTTTAGACCATCAATTTTCAAGATTTTCATATATCTGTCGTTCTACACTATTTCTGAAGTTTTAAATTTCATAAATAAAAATAAAAATATATTTTAGGGTATCATAAAGATTTTCAGTATTGAAACCAGATTTCCCGACTCTATTTGAAGGTAGGCTCTAATTTGATTGTTTAGAGCCTAGGCTCTATACAAACAACACCTTCCTTCTTTTGGCCCATCTCTTCGTGTAAAAGGTTTTACCACTATAGGAAATGGCGACGTTGAGAGAGAGAGTCATTGAGTCCTTGATTCTTCTTTGGGCCCATGTGGAAGGGTCATAATATAGAAGCTTTTTCCACTATAGGAATATCACAATAATGGTTACATCTTAGTTTGAAGGGGAGAGAAAGAGACTTCTCACTATTACCATTATTGTGGTCACTCCATTTGGATTTCAACCTTATTTTGTTCCCCATTGGAGGCCAAGCTTGCGCTCCCTCCATCTGCATTAGTTTTCTGGTCTTCAGCATTGTAGGTGGAATGAACACTATACAACAAGTAAAACAAACACACCACCAAACTCCATATCCCAAACCTTTGGTAGGACCTCCTCCTCAATGTACCTAACAGGAACACATTTAAAAATATAGACGCCGAAGCGGGCCACGGCATCAACGGGACCCGCCACTTAGCCGGCCTATAGACCGGTGTGACCAACCCCTGAAATATTGCAATCATGGAGATGTAGGCCAAGCCAAACATACCGAGTTCCCACCAGCCTCTCTCCAACTTCCATTGTATTGCAAAGCCACATGAAATAGCAGAGAGAATTACTAAGAAGAGCAATGTGGGCAGTGGCCTAGAGAATCCGGGCCTTACGTATCTTCGATAAATGAGTGCATTTGCGACCATGTAGAACACAAGGAGTGCTCCTATGGAGATCATCTCTAGTATCTGGTCAAGCCCTGCAAAGAGGGCAATGAATGCAGTGCACATCCCTGCAAATATTTTTTCATAAATAAAAAAATCAAATACATTTTTATGAACCAAAGTTTTTTTTAAGGTTGGGTTTTAATAACAATTTGTTTATGGCTTGGACCTAGTAATAGTGTTAGTCACAATTATTTCCTAAATTCAATTTATCATTTTCTTTTTATCATGTCAAAATCTAATGCTGATGATTACTCACATGATATCCCATTAATATCAGTTCATTATGATATTTTCATTCTTCTGCTGTTATAATTATAAAAGATCCCCCAATAAAGCAAATGGGGAGAAATTTGCAAGAAAATGATGGTGGAAATGCAAGTTCATGCTTGTAAGATGGACAGTGGTTTTCATATGTACTTCGTTTTCATTAGAAATTATTATAACTTTATCATTTATAAAAATTTTCTTGTCTTTATGTTTTAAATTGTGTAAATTTGGAATTCAAATATAGTAATCCCGATAAAAAATTTGTTCCTTAATAAATAATATATAATTTTGATTTTGTCAAAGGCCCTGCAGTACTATCAGATAGATTCTCAATAAAAGAATTAATCGAGATAATATCCCGATAAAACTCCCTACTGATAATATCATGGTAATGACAATCATCACCGTGGTAATTATACATTATCTAATGGATCACCCTCTCAAAATCAAAATCAAGTGAATTTTGACTGGGAGGTCTTTCCAAGGTCATATTCGTTTTTTGGGATTGGATTTTGAAACCTTAGCAGCAAAACTGCAAAACCATAAATAGGAAAAAGACTCATAACAAGAAATCCAAGTCATCACCATCAAATCAAAGAAACCAACATCTTTATATGCAAGTTTAGTGATTGATTGTAGGTAGGATATATGATGTGATGGTAAGATAGTGCCAAATTCTTTTTTGTTTTTGTCTTTCTAAGTGTGGTTGCGCTTTAAGCGTTTATGTGGGTCAGTTGATGCCTCTTACTCTTCTTGCATGAGTGTGCTTATCCTTAAGTTTCTAGTGGGATCCAATGCTTCAAGTGCTCATTGACCAACCAATGGTGCCAAACTGCACATGAATGTTTCTTTCCCATGAATCCAAAATCCAAAAAGAAATAGATAACACACTTGGTGCTTCAAAATTTATCCAAAAAAAGATAAAGACTGTTACTTGGTGAGAAAAGACTGTTGTTACTTGCCTAACCTTCTTTGTAATTATTTTTTTTTTTTTTTTTTTTTTTTTTTGAGAATAAGGGGTGGGGGTGGTGGTCTTACCCAAGGAAAGAGTGGAATTTACAGGGGTGCCTGTTGATTGGTTCACACGTGCAAACCATAAGGGAACAAGATGAGCTCTCCCCACCACACACATGTATCTTGCTTGGCCTAACATGGCCACCAGGAGAGAAGTGATGATGCCCAAGCTAGCACCTGCTCCAACCACATTTCCGGCCCATTGCCACCCTACTATCCTCTTGAAAGCCGAGGAAAATGGTGCAGTGGCAATGATCTGTGACATTACAATAAAAGAATCACCCTTGGTTTCCAAATCCATCGGAGCTCTTTTTATTGTATATATGTTGCAAAGGTGGCATTTGTTTTTTTGTTTTTTTTTGTTTTTCGGGAAAGAAAACTCAGACCTCTTTGATGTCAAATGAAACAATCCTCCATGGATTGTGAGTTCTAGGCTTCTAGCAATTCATCCAACTCTCTCATGAATACAATGACATATACGAATGGAGAGAGAGAGAGAGAGAGAGAGAGAGAGAGAGAGAGAGAGAGAGAGAGAGAGAGAGAGAGAGAGAGAGTAGTAGTAGTAGTAGTAGTAGTAGTAGTAGTAGTACGTAGTAACGTACGTAACGTACGTAACGTTAACGTTAAGTTAACGTTAACGTTAAGTTAAG